CAAAACTACACAGAGAAACCCTGTCTCAAAAAACAGAAACAACAACAACAACAACAACAAAAAACCCCAAAACTAAGGAAAGCACAAATATTTGTACAAATACTTTCTTAACAAAATATGACAGAAACATGTCAATTATAATCCTCATTTCTGCAATTGCTTATGTGGCCTTAGCTGACATTTATAACTACCTTTCTCTACTATCCACTCAGTATTTCCTCCACCCTCAGCAGTTCTTGACTCTTTCTGGAGGAGTGACTTGTACCTTCATTCCTGACACGTCTGTGCCCTTTGTTGCCCTGTCTGGATTAGGCTGTTATAGTTTCCCATTGACTTTAATTACAGGACATAGTGGCACCAAGAGATGCCTTAAAGGATCTCTTGCATTCTAGTCATAATCTTTCTTACCTCCATGTGGAGAAGCAATGCTGTTTGCTCTTGGTAGTCTGGATCAATCACTCCTCCTCACTGTTACTCCTTTCTTATTCTGTTGGTTTAAGAGCATCAGAAACACAAAGTGACCAGGAGATGGGATGTCTTGAGCTTTCAGGTCAATGAAATTTTTATTGTGTCTCCTGGCAGGAGACTGCCCCCTTGGAAACCAAAACTTCTAGACCAACAGAACTTAAGGTTGGGGGAACACCCATCAACAGATGAGTAAAAGAAATGTATACATATACAATAATCTTACTCATCCAGAATGAAACTGCCATTTGTAAGGAAAACGATGAACTGGAAATCATATTAAGTTAAATAAATCAAACTCAGACAAAGCATTTTATGTTTAATCTAATAATCATAATAATATTTTTTAAATAGAAGGAAGACTTTGGGGAGAGAAGGAGAACCAAAGTAGGTTGAAATGGAAGATGAGTAAATTATTAAAGTACAAGTTGAATAAAGGGTGAAAACCAAATGGCACCAAAAGTGTGGTTTTGAGGTTTTGCAGTCCAGATATACAAAGAGCCCAGAAGCCCTTTCCATATAGCAAAAGATCCAGTCCCTGCTGTCCCTTTGCTCAAAAGCAGCCATGGGGCATCTGTATTAGAAAGACACAACATACCTGTTTTTTTGTGATACTAGAACCAAACCCAAGGCCCATTACCCTACCTTTTTCTTAAAATGTTTTACATATTCACACATTTTATCTAATACTTTTTTTTTAGAGTGTATGTGTGTTGTTACAAGTTCAATATTTTTCTTTCTTGGATCTCTTTCCCCTTCCTGGTCTTTTTGTTAAACTAGCATAGCAGAACAGAATTTACTAAGGGAGTATTTTCATCCACTCAGGACAGAAATCACATAGAATTTGAACAGGGAATGTTTAAATCTTTTTTGACTGGATGAGTTTTAGCTACCAAGACATATAAAGGTTTCTAAAAGATCTAAGTAGCAGACTAGGAGCAGCTTCCTCCCGACAAAGCTGGAGTAGAATGCTGAAAAAGGAAAAGTGTTCTCCTGGCAGTGTTCCTCCAGCACCCTCTGCTGACTAAGTCTAGCATTGTGCCAAGTGTTTGCAGAGTCAGCTCCAGTATTGCAAGCAGGAAGGAAAGCCAAGAAGTTTACATTCACTTAGGATGGACAGCATAAACAAACCTTCAGCCAGGAAGTGGTGGTGCACACCTTTAATCCCAGCTCTTGAGAGGTAGAGACAGGCTGATTTCTGTGATTTCGTGACCAGATTACAGAGAGAGTCCCAGGACAGCCAAGGCTACACAAAGGCTACACAAAGAAACCCTGTCTTGAAAAACAGAAAGGAAGGAAGGAAGGAAGGAAGGAAGGAAGGAAGGAAGGGAGAAAAAAGTTTTTATTGGATGTCTTGCTACTCAGTGAGTGGGAGATAAACCTTAAGTGATTCAGAAGCCTTAGGGGATAAAAAGGGTATTCCTCTGTAAGTAAAGGACAAATTACAACATTTCATTCTTCCCAACACTAAGAAAAAGGCACAGAACCTGATAGAAAATTTGCAAAGAGTAAAGGTATATATCCTATATTTATGAATGTGTTCTATCCCATATAGTGAATGATACAAAACTGCTTTGTGTAGGGCCTAAAGTAGATGGGGTGCCAATGAAGTCCAGGCAGTAAAGCAAGTGTCCCAGCCATATATATTGCCAGCCCAACAGACCTTCTGGTATTAGAGGTAGGGAACAAATAGGTATGTGGTTTTTAGGGTCCTTTTAAAAAAGATGTATATCTTTTCTTTTTAGATTTATTTATTTCATATATATGACTGCTTTAGCTTCATGTATGTCTTTATGCCAGAAGGAAACATCAGATCCCACCATAGGTGGTTGTGAGCCACTATGTAGTTGCTGGGAATTGAACGCAGGACCTCTGGAAGAGCAGCCAGTGTTCTTAACTGCTGAGATATCGCTCCATTCCTGTTTTTAGGGTCTTAACAAGAGAATCATAATACTCCAAGACCATGAAACAAGGCTATGTCATCACCATCAGAGAATAATAAATATTTTAAAAGATTAAAATTAAACTAAAAATGCCCCCTGCCTTGCTACTAGCTCCTGGTGGAAATGGAACACGAGACTATTCAACTAACCTTGAATCCCAAACTGCCAAACATTGTCCAGTTCTATCAGAGTATCAAGAGGGTTTGCAGCAATCTATTATATGATGGAAGTGCTTTATTTGGTTTGGGTACACGCTGGCTAATAGGTACAGCTGGCTGCCTGGTTTCGGACCTGTATAGCTTGGCTTACAAAGTGTTGTCTCAATGTGTAAATAAACTGAAAATGGAGTGCAAATTACCATATTCCAGTTCAGGCACCCTGAAAGACATGTTGAAGATAAATCCAAGGGATTAAATTTTGGGTGATTTACTTGGCCATCCACATTGTATGGATAGGGAAACCAAGGTTAGAAAACTTTGGACCTATTGACAGTGTGGTGATATCTTTCTTGCACAAATAAAGCCTGTTTGGAGAATGGAGCGAGCCACAGCACACCTTACCTCCTAAGAGTCTCAGTAGAGAAGACAGTGATTTCCTGTTTCTTCCTGCTTATGTCCTGTTTCTGTCCAGCTACATCACTTCCTCTGCACAGACCTCTAGACCTCTATGGTTAGCTAGTAGCAAGTTCCAGATTGACCAATCTGGAATAACAAAGGTCAGAAGGCCTGGCACTGGGAGTTTTTGAGGCAAGGCATATGGCTCGTTCACAGTACAATCTTTGAGTATCCCCACCTATGAACATCCACCACAGGCTGCAAACAATTGCCACATTATCACAATGTCTTGGCCAGTTGACAGGTATCAGCCTCTGTTCCATGATGTCCCAGTGCTAACACATGGTTACTTTGGATTTACATGCTATCCCAGTGCTACACTTGGTTGCTTTGAATTTAGTAACCATAGGACTTGGGGTCGGCCCATTAGACATTGGCTCATTAATCAGCACTGATTAGCTGTTTGTCTATCAAGTGTTCAACTTCCCAACAACAGATATTGAGTTTGGAGTCCCTAGTGGCATCATCTTTTATGAACAGTCACCCTGTGCTCTGAAAGGTAGGGTAATAGCTTTTTCTTTTAGAGATGGTTTCTCACTTGTGGCCAAGGTTGGTCTTCCTCAAGTGATCTTTTTACCTTACCCTCCCAAGCAACTAGACCACAGATATATGTTACCATGCCTCCCTATCCAGTGATGTGTCTGAATCGAATCAAAACAAGGTCCAAACATGGGTCCACCTTTTCCATTCTCAGTGCCTCTGTCAGCTCCATTTACCATGAGTACTCTGGGAGCCTAGAACAAAAACATGTGGGCCCATGTACACAGATATACCTGTCAAAGTGGCTGTGAGCACAAATGCGTTAAGTCACACTGCTTGGGATTGAGTCTTAGTGCTGTTCCTTACTATATAGCTCAAGTTAGCTAGTTAGCTAGTTTGTTTTTGTGTGAGTGCATAGATGTATACATGTGGAGGTCATACATTCTCAGGAGCCAGTTACTTGCCTTGTTTTTTTCGAGATAGGATCTCTTACTGAGACATGGGACCCACTTTAGGCTAAGTTAGATGGCTAATGAGACCTAGGGATCCTATCTCCACATCAACCAGCACTGGAATCATAAGCTTGCACCATACCTGGATTTTTACATGAGTTCTGGAGATCAAACTAAGGCCCTCATTCTTTTTTTTTTTTTTTTTCTTTTCCAAGACAGGGTTTTTCTGTGTAGCTTTCTAGACCAGGCTGGCCTCAAACTCACAGAGATCCTCCTGTCCTGCCTCCCAAGTGCTGGGATTAAAGGCATGCGCCTCCACCATCTGGCCTCATTCATGATCAGCAAGCATTTTACAAACAGCACTCCAGCCCAAGGATATTAAAATTAAAATCTAAATTAGGTATTTGTATCAGTAATGTTTTCCTGAGCTCTTGATTATTCTATTGTAGTGTTATTCAGCTTAACAATTTCCTCAAACTCTTAGTACGTATAAAGTGTCTCCAAAATGTTTTCAAAATAAAATATTCAAGTGTACTTGCCTTTAATCCAGCACTTAGGAGGCAGAGAAAGGAGGATCTCTGTAAGTCCGAGGTCTTCGGAGGAAGTTCCAGGACAGCCAAAGCTATACAGAGAAACCCTGTCTCGAAAAACTAAAAAACAAAACAAAGCAAAACCAAAAAATCCCTCAAATTCCAAATAATCACAAATAAGCATTTCATAATTACACATCTGTCTTCTGTTAATTTGAAGACAGTTTATGTAACCAATTAATACAATAGCCTTATGCATTTTGATTGTGTTGATAGTTAATAACATAATGAATCATTTTCAAAGGTTAACTAATTCTGAAATACTTGTTTTGGTTGAGACAGGGTCTCTGTATGCAGCCTTGACTGTTCTAGATCTGGCTATGTAGACTAGACAGGGTTCAAAACCACAGAGATCCATCTGCCTCTGCTCCCCAAGTGCTGGGATTGCAGTCATGTGCCACAATGCCTAGTTTTTAATTTATTTTTTAATGTTTAATTTCTTGTTTGTTTTTTAAGCTTCAAAAGTGACCAAAAAATCCAGTGTTCATTATTCAGTATTAGCTGACCAGGAGAGGACTCGATCACTAGAAACAAAGGTAAATATTTGCAAACATGAGTATTTCTAAACAAATGATCTTCATTTGTTAACAAATTTTTGTAAGTATCCTGTTATATGCTACAAATGACAGATACAGTGCTTTTATTCTGCATGGCATGTGGATTAATTTAGACAGGTGGTGAGGAGGATGAAACATCCCACACATCTGCTTCATGTGTGCATTAAGTGCTGTGATAGCAATTACTTTCATGTTCTCTGAGACCAAGACGAGGGATATTAACCAAGCTTTGTGCTGTTGCAGTTTTCATTTCTTTCTTTCTTTCTTTCTTTCTTTCTTTCTTTCTTTCTTTCTTTCTTTCTTTCTTTCTTTCTTCCTTCCTTCCTTCCTTCCTTCCTTCCTTCCTTCCTTCCTTCTTTCTTTCTTTCTTTCTTTCTTTCTTTCTTTCTTTTTTTGTTTGTTTTTTGAGATAGAGTTTCTCTGTGTAGCTTTGGAGCCTATCCTGGCACTCGCTCTGGAGATCAGGCTGGCCTCGAACTCACAGAGATCCACCTGCGTCTGCCTCCCAAGTGCTGGGACTAAAGGCATGCACAGTTTTCATTTCTGAGCAGTAGGGGCAGGGTGTTGAGATAGGTATCCTATTGAAATGTGAAAATTGTATCTAAGTTGAAATGTCATTAGAAGTTGGCCAAGCTGAAGGTCCCAGCTTTAGAGAGTAGGAGAAAGATCCTGAGAATTTTTAAGAAAAAGAGCTGACCAGTTTTGGCTATACAGGAAAAAGAATAGGTCATGTTACTGAAGGCCTTGTTTAGGAAACAGTGATGGAGTTTGCCTCCTGGTGGATAGAAAGGACTCTGAAGCAAACTGCTTGTTCAGATTCTAACCTAATTTTTTTGTTTGTTTGTTTATTTTAGTTTTTCAAGACAAGGTTTCTCTGTGTAGCTTTGGAGGCTGTCTTGAAACTCGCTCTGGAGACCAGGATGGCCCGGAACTCACAGAGATCCACCTGCCTCTGCCTCCTGAATGCTGAGAATAAAGGTGTGTGCCACCACCACACCAACTTTGGTTTGTTTTTGTTGTTGTTTTTTTCTGTTTTTGTTTGTTTGCTTGTTTTTTTTTCTTTTTTGAGACTGAGTTTCTCTGTTTAGCTCTGACTGTCCTAGAACTTTCTATGTAGATCAGGCTAGTCTTGAATTCACAGAGATCCACTTGCCTCTGCTTCCCAAGTGCTGGGATTAAAGGGGTGTGCCACCACTACTGGGATCCTATTTTTTAATGCTATCTTATATATTTTTGTTTTTTTGAGGAGGTCTCACTATGTAGCCATGGCTCCCCAAAACTCACTGAAGTGGCTCAAACTCATGGAGATCTGGCAGTCTCTGCTTCCCAGGTGCTAGGATTAAAGGCATATAGTACTTTATCTAGCAAAAGCTATTTTGAAGTTTTATTGTGTTTTTATTTATTCATTTTTGTTGGTGGAGGTGCACATGCCATGGAGCACATGTGGAAGTTAGAGGACATTTTGTAGAAGTTGGATCATTTTCTACCATGTGAGTTCCAGGTATCTAATTCAACTTTCTAGGCTTGGTGACAAGTGAGTCATCTTGCCCACCCCCACTTAACTTAAAATCAAACTCTGTGTAGTAAAGTGGAGATAATGTTAGGACCTATCTCTGCTACTACTAACTGATTTGGCTCTAGAATTTTAAAGAGTCTTGTACTTCCTGAAATATTTTAAAGTTTAAATTTAAAACATTCACCATAAGTTTCTGAGGTTACAAAGAACATGATTCTAGTAGATTGTTAATATTGGCATTTTAAAAACTGTCATGAAATTTAAAATACATCCACTGTGATTCAAAGTACACTCTGGCAATTTGATAGCAACCATCACCCCTTAAAAAACACATGAGCAAGATCTTCAATAGTCTGAAGTCTTATTGAATTCCCTTTCTTGAGTACTCCTCCACGGAATTTTTAATTAATATAATTTTATGACTAAAAATCTGTTCTTGGAACCATAAACTATTTATCTGCAGTAAAAATATAACTATAAATGTTAAATTTTCTCCGTTATATGGCCAAGTATTAAGACATTTTCTTTTAAAATAATATTAATGTACAGTTGTCCAAAGCAAGAGATAAATTATAAATTTGGAAGTGAACATTAAGCACAAAGTACCATTGTAAACAAGTCTGCTAATGAAATGGGTGGAGATGCTTTTCTCATTTTAGTGGATGGTTCTGTCAGTGTAGATTGCACATTGCTGGAGTGAGGACCAGGATTGCAGAGGTGTATTTTTGTTAATTTAATAGGTCAATTAGCATTATCAAGTAGTTTTTATGATTTCATTTCTCTGTGACTGACCTCTACTTGGAATTGTAAATTACTGGCCTCACTGTTGTTCATTATCTTCTGAGTACATGACTTCCAGCACAGGGACTAGAAGAAACATTCTGAGCTCTAACCTGCCCTAGCCCCAGGATCCAGCTATGCAGTCTAGAAAGACTCTGTCTAGCTTCGTTGGAAATGTGGTTCTAGGGCTGGAGGGGTGGCTCAGTGAGTGGTAGAATATTTGTTCAGTAAACACCACAGAAGAAGAAAAGAGAAAGATCACAGATAATGTAAAACTTGTGTCCACATATTATCTTTGATAAGCTGTACCAGAAATTGACTTGGTTTATAGGCATGTCTTGTGAATACATGTTGTTAGGAAATAGTTTTCCTTCTTTTTCTGCAGAATCCTAAGTCATTGATAACCCAGACACCAAGAGGATCCATCGGGTTCTTTCCTCAGCCCTCCATTACTGAACTCACAAGTCAGCTTTCTGTTGGTCAAGTACACAACAGCATCAGTTCTTCGGCTCTTTCCAGTTATTTAATTCCACAGTGTGATCAGGACGCTCCAGTCTCACAGAAGATGGAGCATACAAGAAAGGAAAATATAGCTAAAGAAAATGAGGAAATCTTGAATCTTAAAAGAAAATTTATTACATGTAGTAATTCCCCAGAAAAAGCAAGTAAACACATAGCACTGGAAGAAGATACTGATGGGGCTGAAACCTGGCTAAACTCTGAAAACACAAGACTGTTTGGAAAACAGCTTTGTGATGTTAGGTACTTAGATGATTTAGCAAAAGTACAGCTGATGGATGTGGTCAAGCAGGCAGAAGCTATGGTTGTGACACTGATGTATGAGGATGGTTCCACACAGCTCAGAACCAACCAGGTTAGTAAACAGTAATGTCACATGCCTGTGGCACTAGCACTTGAGAAATTGGGGCAAGAGGATAACTTGAACTCTGGAATTTGGGATCACCCTGGGAAACATAGTACAAACTCATTTCAAAACAAATCCTCTTTCTGATTTTGATAGGAGAGTTAGAAATAAGATTTTAAGCCTTCCTGTCCTCACTTTGGCAAGTGATTCTGACAATGTAGGATTTCTGTCAATTCTAGGCAAGTGATTCTGACAATGTAGGATTTCTGTCAATTCTAGGCAACTGAGTTGACTTAGTGGCCCAATTGCATTGACTCTTTTGTTTTGGTTAGGTTGGCATGTTAGGCCTCCTCTCAGGCCAGAGAAATAGCTTTCCCTTCTGTGCCTCCACAGAGCCCTGGTCAAGGCCACTGTAACCTTCCCTTCTCTGAAAGGAAGAATCATTTAGTCTCCAAACAGGGATACGAGCTCCCAAACACTTTGATTTCTCTGTTTTTGGAAGGTATCCTGTTGAGTAGATAATATTAGTTGAGACCTAGGTGTGATAGTGCATGCCTATAATCCCAACACTCAAGAGGCTAAGGCAAGGAGGAGCCAGCCTGAATTACATTGATGACCCCGTCATCTTGTGGGTGGTGAGGTGGCTCAGTAGATAAAGTGCTTGCTGTTCAAGTGTGAAAACTGCATGTGGATCCCCAGAACCTATGTAAAGTTGGATGTTATAGCATGTGTTAGTAATCCTGGGGCTCCTATGGTAAGATGGGAGGCAAATACAAGAGAGTTGCCTGAAGCTCTGGGGCCAGTTAGCCTGGCATACACAGTGGCAAGCAGTGAGAGACTGTGTCTCAAACAAGATGAAAGATGGAGACCAACACCCAAGTTTGTCTTCTAAGCTCCACATATGTACTATGGTATGTCTGTACCTGAACTTCCACATGGACATGCACAGAGATTTTTATAATGGTGTATTATTTTTTAAGTTTCATTATAGATGCTACTCCTTTATCTTATAGTTTGCTTTCATAAAGCAATATATCTGTTTAATTTTGTGGCTTTATATTACTCTGTCTTCACAGACTTTAACTTGTCCTGTTAAAGGAATTGTAATGTTACTAAAAAGCCATGTAGACAGCAGCCCTCTGATTTCCACAGCCCGAAATAGTGCTCTGGGAGAGAACTCCACATCCACAGATCACTGTATCTACATACATACTGAGCACTCCCCTTTCTGGAATCCAAAGAAAGAGGCACATAATCTATTTGTCAAGTAAGAAATCTTTATTTATTACATTAAATGTAAGGCTCTTCAAGCTCTTCTCCTCCAGAGTTTCTGGAATGGAAGATGCATCCTGATGCCAAGAGGCCTGTACTAGTATTGTGACAACTTTGCAATGAGATGTTAGGGGAAGCCACATCCTCCATCCTGAAAACCCACTGCCACTACCAGGGTTCCAGGTAGTTCTCACTAGTATTTAGTTTCCTTCTGCACAGCATAGGAGATAAGTTATCACTGCCTGGAAATGCTAAGTTGTCTTCTGCTAATGCCTGTCTGAAAATGTGTCTTGGGTGTGTTTTGTACCACAATCAGTTTTGCTGTATAGGCTTGGTTCCCAGGGTTGTTGTTTGAGGTGGTAGATCCTTAAGAGAAGGGACTCAGCAGATGGTGGGTAGGTCATGGGGTTCCTCCCTCTTGAATGGATTAGTGCTGGTCTTTCAAGAGTGAATTTTCACACTAGTAGGCTGGTATGAGGTAAGGCCACCATGTGCTCGGCCCCTTCTATCCTTGGTTGGTTCCCTTTCTGTCTATCATGATGTGATGCTGGGAGGGGCCCCTGACTAAGCCAGTGCCATGCTTTGTGGACTTTTCTGCTGCAGTTGTGAACCAAATTAACTTTATTTAATTGTGCCTAATATGATAGTGACTTTTCTAGCTTTTTACTTTTTTTATGTTTATTAAAGCTTTCTGTAAAGAGCTTTTCTTTATCAGCTGGGCTTTGTTCACCTTATCACGTCTTTACTCATGTGTAATTTTATAATTTAGGTCTTTTGTGAACATCTGTATAGAACAATACTCTAGCCCATCACCATATACAATCTCCATCTTCATGTCTCTCCATAATGCTTGTCACCACCACCACCACTACCATTCATAAATCTTGTTTATTTTGTTTATTGTATGTCCACTACTAAGCTTGAAGAGAGTTAGGGTAGGATTTTTTCCCTTCATTTTCATGACCCCACATCCAGGAACACTGCCACAGAACAAATGAATAATATTTATCCAGCAGCATTTTGAAGCATGTTAAGTTCTAGGAAAGATAATCCCTCGTGTACTATAAAACTGTAATAGTAGTCCCAATTCTACAGTAGTGTATTTAGGATTCAAAATGAACTTAAATCATACTTTATGAATATATACATAAATATGTTTTAAGAGTTTTTTGCATATATATGTTTGTATGTGTTAGCATGTGTATATACATGTACGTGTGTGCGTTTTATTTTATTGAGGCAGGCTCTCTTGCTGAATGTGGAGCTCATCTATCCTAACTAGTCTAGCTAGCCAGCTTGCCATGGGGATTGCTGCCTCCCAAGTGCTAAGATTACAGGCAGGCCACAGGCATTTGCATGGTTTCTGGTGATCTGTCATAGTTAGTTTCAGCTGTCAACTTGACACAAACCTAGAGTTATCTGGGAAGAGGGAACCTCAACTGAAGAATTGCTTTGATCAGATTGGACTTGGACCATGTCTGTGAGGCATTTTCTTAATTGCTAATTGAATTGATATAGGAAAGGCCAGCCCACTATTGATGGTGCCATCTCTGGGCAGGTAGGTCTGGTCTGTGTAAGAAAGGTATCTGAACATGAGCTTAGGTGCGAACCAGCAAGCAGTCATTCCTCTATGGTCTGTGCTTCAGTTTCTACCTCCAGGTTCCCTGCCTTGACTTTCATTGATGAAAGATTAAGTAAACTCTTTTCTTCCCAAGTTGCTTTTGGTTATGGTGTTTGATTATAGCAACAGAAAGCAAACTTGGAAAGAATCTGAACTCAAGTTGTCATGCTTATGTGGCAAGTGCTTTTTCCCATGAGCCATCTCCCAGCCCACAAAAAACCCTTCTCCTGTTTGTCTTACAAAGATAGACTTCAGCCAGCCCGAATGTCTCCCTAGGAGAAGGCAGTGTAGCTATTTGATCCCTTCCTCCTGGATCTGTGTTTCAGCATGTGTCAGAGAGGTCCCTACACTCCATTTTCTATCATTGTTTACTTCTTCCTTTCCATCCCTTACCAGTCTATCTAAGCCAAGACCCAGTTCTGTTGGCACTTTGACCTCCTACCATCTTAGCCTTCTGTTCTAACAAAGCCAGACCACATAACTTTCAAAACACTGTACAGTGCTGTCAGTGGAGCCAGACAGGCAAAACCCAAGTACACAACACTTAGTGTGCATATTCACTGGGCTCTTGGTTTCTTCCTTCCTCATACTATCAAAGAGCTCCTTTAATGTATTACTGCACTTCTACCATGAAGAGGAACCTATGATTCAGGGGTTCAGGGTTTATCTCCTGGCAGTAGCAAGATACAGCATCAGAACCCAACCTTAACACCTATTAGATGCACCATCTCTGAACCCAAGTCCCTTCATCTGTATACTGGATGGCACCTACCTTGTAGCACAAGAGCTTAGGAGTAAAAGGTTTACTCAGAGAAAAGCCCTAAGTCCAAACTTCACAGTGTATGAACTGTACATAAGAGTAATGCCCACTTGACAGTATTCTTTAGTTAATTGAGGTATATAGATACGTGTGTGTGTGTGTGTGTGTGTGTGTGTGTGTGTGTGTGTGGTATAAGGATAAATAGTTATTTAATATTACAAAATGTTTCAAAGATTTGAATTACTCTCTAAATTGCTGAATTTTCTCTTGTGTAGGAACATGCTGTTTTGGACACTTAGATGCAAATGCCCTGTTGTTTGTTTTAATGCCAAGGACTTTGTGAGAACAGTACTACAGTTCTTTGGTGAAGATGATAGTTGGAAACATGGTAAGCTACCATTCTCATTGTCTCTAAGATTTGGAAAGCATGTACCTGCTTCAGGGCCCCTGGCCTCACACTATTTCTTCGCCTGCCATGATCAGGAAAAGGCACTTCCCTGGTGTGTTTGGTTTCTACTTGCTTTGGTGACTCATGAAGCACAGTCACAAATGGGCTTTGTTATTATGACCAGTCTGTATGGCTACAGACACTGAAAATTAAACTACAGCACAGATAGCAGCAAACAAAGCAGGGCATTTATTACCTTTAAGGAAGTAGGAGTCAGCTAGACATGGTGTATGCCTTTAATCCCAGTACTTGGTAAGCAGAGGCCAGCAGGTCTTTGAGTTCAAGGACAGCTTGTTTTACAAAGAAAGTTCCAGGACAGCCAGAGCTACAAAGAGAAACCCTGTCTCAGAAAAACCCAAAGAAAGAGATAGTGTGGGGGAAAACCCTAAACATGGCAAAAGCATTTACTGTTGATGTTGTAATTTAAGAAAGGCAGCATGTGAGAGGATGACACCATGGTGCCTGTTAAAGCAGAGGAGTTTTTATTGGGAAAGGGACGGGGGAGACTGGCCTCCAGGGACAGGAGCAGCCCGAGAAAGGAAAGAGAGGCACAGAGAGAGCAGGGGTTGGGGGGTGAGCAGGCCTTTTTAAAAGGGAACATAGTGAGTATGCACAGGTGCTCTTAGTGGCTGCAGCTGAGGGCGAATTCTGTCAGAAGCCCAAGGACAGGCCAGTACAGATGCCTAAATGCTAACAGTTGAGTCCTTGAGTTTTAACTGTAAAATCTTTTCCAGGTAATCTGTTTTGAAATATTGCTAATAAATTGTTGAGAAAAATATTATAATAAATTTCTAACACACAAAATTGCTCATCACAACTTGACAAGGATTTGACATACAACTGATTTTTTTCCTTCATTTTTCAAATGCTTCATTTTTCAAGCCACTGACTCCTCAGTATTTTGTAACAAATCTCAAACAACGTAAGATTAAGCTGTAATATTTCAATTGTACGATGATCCCAGGTTCAAGGCAATGCCATCTACTCCCCCAGTATGAGCAGTAATCTTTTTGCATTACTAGCTGTCCTGACAGTATTCCAACTCCCACACTTGTCCTGTGATGTTCTTGGTGTGTGTGTGTGTGTGTGTGTGTGTGTGTGTGTGTGTGTGATGGTTGAAGCTGTTGATTGTCATTGTCTAGGTTCCTTAATTACAACCTGGCAAGATCCAAAATCTGTTATACTTTCTACTTTTTTTCCTTTTCCATTTTCATGTACACATACATGCTTACATATGGCGCCTGAAGTTGATGCTGGGAATTATCTTTAATTGGTCTTTTACCTTATTCATTAAGGTATGGTCTCAGTCAAACCCAGAGTTGGCATATGTGACTAGTCTTACTATCCAGTTTGCTCTGGGAACCTCATCCCTTGCCTTTCTGAGGCTGGAATTACAGGCATGCTGCCACACCTATCTGATATTTACACAGGTCTGGGAATTTGAACTCTGGTTCTCAGGTTTGCAAGGCAAGTACTTTGACCATTCAGCTGTCACCCCAGTCCATTTTCTTCATTTATTAACTAGACTAATTCTATAGATAGGATCCCTTCATCATCTGCCTGTTATGATAAATCTTTCCGCTAAAAGCCGCCTGAGCCTTACCAACATGTGGGCAGTCTCCACCAGCCACCTGAGTTCTGCCCACCGAGTTAGGGCCCCAATTAATGCACAGAGACTTATATTAGGTACAAATGTTGCTTGGCCAATGACTAGGATTCTCATCTGTTAGCTCAGTCTTTTTTTTTGTTTGTTTTTTTGTTTGTTTGTTTGTTTTGAGACAGGATTTCACTGTGGCTTTGGAGCCTATCATGGCACTAGCTCTATAGACCAGGCTGGCCTCAAACTCACAGAGATCTGCCTGCCTCTGCATCCCGAGTGGTGGGATTAAAGGCATGCACCACCAACGCCTGGCAGTTAGCTCAGTCTTAATTATCATAAATCTATATATTTTATAAGACTTATCCTATCGGACGCCTTCTATTGGCATCCTCCCTTGCCAGTGGATCACATGGCGAATCTGGAGGAAGAGAGGTGGGGAAAAAGGACCACTTCTTGCTTGTCTTCCTTAAATATGAGTCTCCCTGCTATGTCACTTCCTGCCTGGATCACCACTTCTTTACTACATTTCCCAGAATTCTCCTTGACTCCTAGTCCCGCCTAACTTGCTGCCTCATTGGCCAAACAGTACTTTATTCAACAATCAATAAGATGAACATACACAGAAGTACTTCCCCATCATCTGCCTAAGTGAACTTGAGATGGAAACTCCTAGATAGAAATTTGGTTCTTTCTCTTTACTTATTTCAGAATAATGAATTGCTCCACAGAGTAATTGAATCAAGCAAAACGTGATGCAAAATACGTTTAAACTATGGTCATGGTGAACATGTGGGCTGGTTTTACTGCTTAGTTATGTTAAGTATTAGTAATATATAAATAAGACATACTCTTGTATGTATATTACTATAGTAATAGATTCCTTGGAAATGGATGAGTGCAGGGCAGGAAATTCCCATGGTGAGTATATAACAGCTCAAAGCCACTAAGTCAAGAAAGGTCAACTTTATAAACCATCAAAGATATGTGTACCTATTGGGTTGAAATAAATGGTGTAGAGCAGAGAAGACAAATCTGTATGGCCACTATAGAGAACACTATAGACAGACCTAAAAAAAAAAAAAAAAAAAAAAAAAAAAAAAAAAAAAAAAAAA